AGGGGTAATTATTAGGACTGTCTCCCCCCCCGTCCCTCCCACGAAGACTTAAATTGGTTACCCTGTATTGATCTTTAAGTAAGACAGCTAAGGCATAGTCGTATTTTCTGCCCACCCAAGTGTTTTAAAATATAACGTCTTTGAGGACGGAGAGTTCTGCCTCCTGACCATTTGCCTCATGTTCTATCTTACATTCTTTCTGTCAGCTAGTTTATGCACTGGTGTTAAATTTCCCTCAATGCATGACTTCTGTAATACTGATATTTGGGGAGTGTGTTAGTAATTGTTCTAATGGCAATTTAGTGTCTAAAGGGCAACCAACGAAGGTTTGCTTCTTTAACAAACAACGGAAAGAGTCCATGGATTTAGTCCTCAAAGCTATGAAGTGCTCACAGCTTCCACGTTTTACACTGATAACAGTAAAGGAACAATTTTAAGACCCTGACACTTGGCAGAATTTTTCTAGGACAGGATATTCTTGGAGAGCATCTCGGAAGTGCAGCAGTAGCATTGTATTCTATTTCAAAGCTCTTGCGTGCAGAGCTCGTTAGTCAGATACCTTCTCAGTTTCAAGCAAGCTGCAATAATCCCAATGCACAGTCATAAATGAAAAATATTTGGGGTAGTAAGGAAACTCCTGAAAAGCAAACATGTTGATTAAATATTCTTTCTTAAATATAACTTATGTTTTGTTTATCTTTTTTTTTTCCAGATGTAAGCATCTCTGCATCATCATCTTTACAAAGCAGAGGGAATATTTCCTTAATGGGAAATAGGAAGCTTTTTTTTGACACTCATGCGCTGGTATGCCTCTTGGAAGAAAATGGTAATTTGCTGGAAATGGGTAGCTGTTTTTAATGCCATTTCATGAGTGTTTTTTTAGTTTACAGAGTTTGTTACTTACTTCTCCTTGATGAGTGATGTTACAGCTTCAGTTTAATGGATATTTTTTTTTTAAATATATTTACTGGGTAAGAACATTTTTTCTACTTCCTAAAGGAAACGGTGAGCTTATATAACTTTGATTGGAATACTTTATTATCCTATTGGTGATTAAAAATGCTAAGGAGAAATTAGATTTTAAGAATTGAAAGTAAAAAACAGTTTTCAAGGTAGTGGTTTAAAATGTATTAGTTGGATTCCTACTTTAGTATATAGCACCTTGAATGTCCAGCAATGTGTTACAATAGGATTGAATATGGACTACTATGTAAAATGCAGGTTTTAGGATATAGTGTAGAATACTATGTAAAATACGGCTGCTCTTATGCTAAAACACAGGTAAGGGAATAGATTATTTTGGATTCTTGCCAATGTTGCTGAGGTGGGGAAGGTACCTTAAGGTGAAGTTCAGTACAGCTGAATTGACTTCTGACAGCTCTCCATCCCTGAAAAGGAAAAGTCCCTTTTCCCTGCCACGTGGTTTTGTCTCTCTCCATGTGCCAACCTAATTCTCAGAAAACTCTGCAGCTCTTTTGCTTGATCGGTATTCTGAGATGCTAGTTTAATGAGCTCACAGAGCACTTGCATGAGGACCAGGACGCATACAAACTGGTAGGAGGAGGGATAAGAAAAGAGACAGAGAGAGAGGAAGGGTGTCTCTTCCTTTTGGTGGTGGCAAACTATTATATCAGCTGAGCTATTGAAAGCAACTCACTGTCAGACCATATATGTGCTTTCTGCTTAACTGCTCATTAGTTTGAAACAGTCATGCTTTTGCAAGTGTTTCTTTTCATAATGGTTAAATCTTGTTCATGACACTTTTACTCCTACATTTTGAAAGTAGAAAAACTGTTTTACAACAGTTTTACAATAGTTTCCAATATATTCAGTTTAAAAGGTTTTTAATAGGGACTCAGAGGCTGGTAGGCCTAAAATCAGTTACTTGTTGAGTTTTGCACATCTTCAGTGGTTCTGAAGACTTATAGTATACTAAAGTACGTATCTGCTTTTCACGGTCAGAATTCTTGCTCATAGAAATAACCACATATGAGAGATGACTTTCTGTAATACTTCTAGAAAGTTTCCAGCATTTAGCTTGCTGACATTGTAAGAGTGCTGTACTGTAGAAGCAGCTGCACTATGTCACAGACATAATTTTGGGGTGGAGGAACTTTGACATACTGACTGGTTGTGTTCTTTTGTTAGTGCTGGATCAAGAGGAGTAGATTGTATTATCTTTCATAACTGACATTTGGTTTAACTTGGTGCTGAGTCTTAGCAAGTGGCATTTCTGTAAACTGTCCAGATTTAGGTCTCTCTCTGAATGTTGTTGCATTTTGTTTTGCTTAGGGTTCACTACTCAGCAGTCGGAGGTCATTGTATCTGCACTAGTGAAAATTATGAACACCAACCTGGATCTGATTTACAAGGACATGGTCACCAAAGTACAGCAGGTTAGCTGAAAGACGATGGTGGGGTTGAAGTAAATCAAAAGCCAGTATGCCTGCTAATGAAATATATGTTGCTATTTATTACTGTTAGACACTGTATTTTAAAAGTTTGAAGGTGAAGAACAAACATTCCTGTGTATTTATTAGCTAGTGAATTTTGTCTTGAGTATATCAAATACTTTGCTAAAAGTGTTGCAGTGGACCTTGAGATTTAGGTGCTGTGAGTTGGTAGGCAAACCACAGGTAGTTTTTTTGTTTCAACCTTATTGTAGCATGAAATAGAATTACTGAGAAGGCTTTTGGACAGACATAGGAGGTATTCAATGAATGGATTTGAATAGTTACAGCTCCTACATACATTCCTTTGTAGACTTGTAACAAGGAAGTACAGATTCCCTCAGTGATTTACCACCCCGTTATGTGGTACCTTTTTATTTCTCTCTCTGTCTAGAACTGAGCTGAATTTCTTTCTTTCTTTTTTTTTTTTTTTAATATAATGTTTTTAGGGCCTGATTGGTGTGGTTGTATACACTGGTAACATACAGGAACATGTATAGTTTGGATGCTGATACTGAAATTTATCTCCTGTTCCTTTGATGCATACATTGTTCATGGAATGCTCTAAACCTACCCAGCACATACATCTTGGTGTGAGGAAGTGAAGAAAACTTGCTTGGAAATAGACAGATAATGCTCAGTATCTACAGAGATCCTTCCTGGCTACCAGGATGATTGTTTTAATGGATAATTGTCTCTGGAGGCAAAGCTTCTTGTTCTAATACTGGCTGTGATTTTTTCAGGGCCCTTTGTCAGGTTATGCAAAGGTAGATCCACGTAAGGAATTGAACATGACAGTGTTGAATATTGCCACATTGAGCTGTTAGGCATCTGGCTCCAGAAATGAAACTGAAATTTGGAGTAAGACATGATTCACTGCATGTGGAACTTAAGCATCTTTGAATGGGATTCACAATATCTGGTGTGCTGGACTTCCCTGACATGTAAGCTAGTCAAATGGACAATGCTGAGAAGAAGCATAGCTGAAGTACAACCTCTTGGGCTGCTCCGTGAGGCTGGGATTCACAGTCCCAAGTCACCTTCTGAACACAGGCTCTAGCTTACGTCATAGTAAAAAGGCTGCTGTCTTAAAACGTGAGAAAACAGCAGCTGCTGTCTCCATAGTATAATAGTCTTGGCAGCAGGGCGTCTCATTAAGAAGCGAAATACCTGGATTTTGCACCACCTTCCATCTAGGGAGGCTTCAGCTCATCTTTCCTACCTCCTAGATTCCAGGCAAAGCAGACATGGGTGAGCTTCCTCCCCCTGTGCTGAACTTGTTCCACAGTCAATCAGAGAATGCAATGTTAAAGGGACCCTTTCTCCCATGGTTGGTTATGTTTTACAATAAGGAGTCATTGCATCTCTGCCTCCTTCTATGCCCAGCTTTTTTTGAATAAAAGTAGACAGGTTTCCCTTTGTTGCTCCTGATGGTAGATGTTTTCTGAGACTGTCTGGTAGATTCTACCCTCGGGTGACTTTCTGTCATTAAAATTGAAATGTGTGGGTATGTATGGCACGCTAAGATAGAAGCAGCTCAGGAGGTGTGTATGCCATGAACTCTGGGCAGCGTGACAGAACCTGTAGTTCCTTATAGTCTTTGAATGCATAAGAGCTTATGCAAAATGAGAATGATTAATTGGAAGAGGATTTAGCAAGTTGTTGATGTGGCTATTACCATTAGGCCCTGGTTGGGTATATAAAAGATTAAATATTGCCCTCGTTGGGTATATAAAAAATTAAATATTACACTGGTTAGATAAAGCCTTGGGGGGGGAAATATATATATGTGTGTATGTATAGAGATGAAGAAGAAAAAGAATATAGAAGAGTCTGTTCACTGGTTTACTGCATTCAGTGAAGACGAGAGGAGAGAGAACAAAAGCAAGCTGGAGACATCAGGGACTAAGAGAGGAGGTGTCCACGGCAGTACACTTTCTGTAGTCTTTTTGTAACACGTCTAGTACACTGAGCCATTTTTTTCAGTGTTGTGGTCAGGTAGCCTGGTGAGGCATCTCCAGATGCTACTTAAACACATAGTACTGTAAGTTAGAATAGCATTTCCTGACAAAAGTTAAGTTAGAGTGCTGCATCAGATTTGTAGGGTTCTTAGTCCAGAATCAAAGGCAAGTGACTACTTATTAGGGAGAGGTCTTCAGACAAGAGAAGGCAGTCCCTGCTTGTATGTGTGGATAGTGTAGGATCTAAAGCAATGTCTGCAGACTTTTCCATCCTCAAAAGTTGCAGAGAATTCTTGTTTGTCTTCTCTCAGTTCAGTATAACAGACTGAGAAGAGCAATAAAAGTACAAGTATAGTGCGTGATTCTAAGTAGTGAAACAGAGTGAGCCCCCTTGCAGGAGGAGGTAAAAAAAGAGGTAATTACAAAAGAGTATGGTTGCACTGAGAAGTTTTGGTCTGAAAGCAAGTTTTCCTCATTTAGCTCAGAGACACATCTTCTCTCCCTAATGCCTTTGCTAGCTAGAGAATTTCAAGACTTGGAATAAACTGTTTTGTAGGCTATTAATTGAATTATTCTGATCTGTATTAGCACTGCTAATTTTGTCAAACATTATCAACATTTGAGCCTAACTTGCTTATTCTGTCACTTAATTTATTTTGCTTTCTGAAACTTAGATAATCAGTCTGAAATTGCTGAATTAAAAATTTCAGGCTACCAAAATAGCCTATCATATTTGTAGGCACAGATGAGAAAAAGCATTATAGTTATGATATGTTCTGAGGTTTTTCTTCCCTCTTTTAAAGGAAATTGCACTTCAGCAAGTAATGTCCCATATTGGTGGCTTGAAAAAGGACATGATTATTTTGGAAAAAAGTGAATTTTCAGCACTTCGTTCAGAAAATGAGGTAAAAATCACTATCTTGGAAAGTGCTATTCTAGCACTTGCTTATTTTTTCTAACGATGTAAAAAAGTATCTTGTACCCAAGGGGTTGGCTCTGGAGCCAGTATGGTTTAACACCCTCATTAATGACCTTGTCGATGGGGCAGAGTGAACCCTCAGCAAGTCTGCAGATGATACAAAGCTGGGAGCACTGGCTTATACACCAGGCAGTTGTGCTGCCATTCAGAGGGACATGAACAAGCTGGGGACTTGGGATGACAGGAATCTTATGAAGTTGAACAAATGGAAATGCCAAGTCCTGCCCCTGGGGAGGAATGGCCCCAGGCACCAGGACAGGCTGGGGCTGACCAGCTGGAAAGCAGCTTGGCAGGAAAGGCCCTGAGGGTCCTGGTGGACGCCAAGTTGACCATGAGCCAGCGATGAGCCCTTGCGGCATAGAAGGCCAACGGCCTCGTGGGCTGTGTTAGGAGGGCTGCCAGTGGGTCAAGGGAGGTGATCCTTCCCCTCTGCCTGTCACTGGTGAGACTTCATCTGGAGTGCTGTGTCCAGTTCTGGGCTCCCCAGTGCAAGGGAGACGTGGACATGCTAGACAGAGTCCAACAAACAGCCACAAAGATCAGTAAGGGACTGGAGCATCTGACATATGAGGAAAGACTGCAAGAGCTCAAACTGTTTAGCCTGGAGAAGAGAAGGCTCAGTGGGGAATCTCAGCAATGTATACAAATATTTGGAGGGAGGGTATATAGAAGACAGAGATAGGCTCTTTCTGGTGTTGTCTTGTGTCGGAGCAATAGGTAGTTGGCACAGACCAAAATGCGGGAAATTCTATTTAGACATAAGAAAATCCTTTTTACTGTAAGGGTGGTAGAACACTGGAATAGGATACCTGGAGAGGCTGTGGAGTCCCTATGCTGGAGATATTCAAAACCCAACTGGACATGGCCCTGAGCAACCTGTTCTAGTTACCCCTGCTTTGAGCAGGGGATTGGACTGGATGATCTCCAGAGAGAGTTAATAGAAGATGCTACAGCTATACCTATTTCATGTCTCTTTTGAAAGAGGTAAAGTAATAGAATGAGTTAGAAAGGACCTCTGGAGAGCGTTAGGTAGTTGCAGGCTGCAGTATGATTGCCATTTAGCTATCTCTTCTCAAGGCTGAACGAACCCATCTCTCCTCCTCACCCACCACCCCTAGCATTGTGTGCTGCAGCCCCCTGGTGACCATCTTGGTGACTCTCCACTGGACTTGCTCCAGTTGTCCGTATCTGGTTTTCACCAGGGAGCCTAAAGGCGGACACCATGCTTCTAGTGCAGGCTCAGAAGTGCTAAATGTGGGGAAATAATCACTTCCCTTGGCCTGCTGCGTTTGCTCTTGCTCATACCATCCTATGCATTCGGCCACCTTTACTGCTGTGGGACATTGCTAGCTTCTGTCTTGTGCTTGTTTTGGGAAATGTGCAGCACTGAGTAAACATGCATGTGTATACACATGTGTGTATCTATACACATACTGAGGACATGGAGTTAAACCACACTTGTTTTGCCCTCCTTTTCACATTATGGATTATAGTAATTGTTACTGATCGTGCAAATTCATTAGTATTTCTAGATTGTGTGTTTTTATATACAGTAATAAAGTGTACAATTTTTTTCTACTCTCCCAGAAAATAAAGCTTGAACTCCAGCAGATAAAGAAGCAAGTCATGGTAAGATACCATACCAATATAATTAAGAATTGACACCTGTCCAGTTTGCTTTAAATAAAAAATAATTGTTGCTTTCAAGATTTTAAAATAAAAGCTGTGCTTAATTGTTGTGATATATAGGACACTGTAATTGCAGTTGATAGTACACTGTGGGCTGCAGCAGAAACAACTTCATGCATACTTCATTTATGGTGACATGGAACTGTTAATGGTACAAGGGGTGAAGAAAAATTTAATTGAAGGGGTTTGGTTTTTTTTTTTTTTACTTACATGCCCTTAATTTAGATTCAGAAAGCGGCTAACTGCCATGTCACGGTTAAGGCTGAGTGAAGTTCTGCATTTAAGGCTGCCTGCTTACATGTAAAGGCGCGACATAGTTTTAAAATTACAGCACTTTCTAATTGGTTTGGGTTTTTTGTTGGGGGGAAGGGGTTGTTTGGGGTTTTTTGGGTGTGTTTTTGTGGGGTTTTTTTTGTTTGTTTTTTTTCGTCTGAAGACATACCTGTTAGCTGTCCAGAATTTAAAATTAACTTTTAAATGGCTTCTTTAGGCCACTAAGTTTGGGACCATTATGTTTGGTCCCACTTGTTTGGGAGCAAATAACCTTTGCAAGAAAACAGACTGTCTGGAGAAAACTTACTCTGTTAATTATCATACAGATTCTTAGTCTTATCAGGTTTAAGCATCAGTGCTGTGTTCTGTTCTTTATGGTTGCCTTGAATAGCACTCCAAACACCCTTCTACCATCAAAACCAAGATCATCTCAAGATCTATTGTTTCAATGGGTGTGGAGTCATAAGCAGCCTTTACACAGAAACTAACATTCTTGCAAGAGTGAGTGAGATTGGAAACTGGGAAACATTAACTGTTTTTAGGGAATATGGTCATCTGACTTGAGAACTGCTGTTTCCTGCTGTGATGTCCTTCTTAGCTGGAAGGATGGAGCATTCTTCTTTCCCTAGGATTTGTCCATGAAACTGGCAGAATATTCGACTTGTTGAGCTGGCTGACAATGTGGACAAACTCAGCCTAGTGCCTCCTTGCCATTTCTTTCCTGTTCTTTTCAATTTCTTTTTTCACTGTCATCTCCAAAAGGAGAATGTAAATTTCTCAAGGCTAATCCTGCATGTTTTATATTGTGTTATGAAATGCTTAATGCATCTGAGTTTTCAGAATACCATTTTAAAATACATTTGGCATCTAACTTTTGAATTGTAACTTATGGTTTTAGTTGCATATAAACAAGTTAGTGTAATTCACTGGTAGAGCATCAAGGATCTGAGTCATCTTTTCTTAAAAGCTAGATGTCTTTAATTAAAAATTAAAATTTTACTTTTACCTGTAAATATAAAATAACTTGCCCTTGTGAATATTATGTTTGCTCATACTTTTTCCTCTAAAAGACAAGAAGACACAATGTTGTAAAATTTTAAGAAAAATTTATTTCTAATTTTTTGATTTATGAAACTGTATTGTATGGTGTTGTAATGACATCTAATTATAAACCGGTTAAAATTCAAAAATTCAGACATAGAAATTGAGTCTAATTATTGTTCATACTAACTTAATGAACTCTTGACTAGTTGACATCGGCCTACTTGAGAGATGCTTACTTGTTTTTAATAGTAGAATCTCCCAGAACATCAGCAAATTTCTGCTTCTCCCACACATTCATCTGATCAGCAGTTTGCCTCATGACACACTGTCAGCTGGCTGGAATTCCTGCCAGGAGGTTGCATTAAAATGGCAGCTGTTAACTGAGAAAAGCAGGAATCACTTACAGCTATTGATGAAGTAAAATGCAAGTGTACAACTTATGGTAGTTTAAAAATATAATAAATGTTTCCTGACTTCTAAAATGTTTGTAGCTTTTTCTGAAAACCCTAGATGTAGACTTTAGAAACAGATTTTTCTTTTACGTTGGAAGGTTAGAAACTGCTTTTAAAGTTATTTTGAGCATCAAGATTGCTTTATGGAGGAAGTCCAACTTACATATGTACCTAGGCATGGATTTCTAGAAATCAGAGAGAGTTATGGGATATATGAAACATTCCCAGCATTTATAGAAGGATGTGCTCTCAATTAACTGCTGCTTTCAGTGTTCTGGGTTTAAAAGCAATTGTTATGAGATTCATTTCATACTGTAGAACGTCAGTGTTTCCCGGGGAAGAACAGGAATATTTACACTTCTGAAAATTATGTACATTAATTGGAGAGAAGCTTGATTCCTGAGATACGTAAAGAAAGGCACAATATATTTGTCTGACTTTTTCTGCTTATGATTAAATAGAAAATCTTGCTTGCTGCTTTATCAATTTTTTCCCATTAGGATGAAATTACCAAAGTTCGTGCAGATAACAAGTTAAACCTAAACCTAGAGAAGAGCAGAGTAAAAGAATTGGTAAGTTTTGGTTACTTCCTTCTAGAAACACCTAAGCAGTGAGTAATCTCCAAATTTGGGTAAGAACATCTTCATATTGATCTAGAGCATCATTCAGCTTCAAGATGGTATTAATCAAAGTTACTCATCCTTATGCTGCTATCTAGTGTATAGGTGCTATGTTTGGTTTTCTATGTCTATCTATTTTGATATTGTTTTAATATCAGGATTAACACATTACACTTCTATGTGTTAGATAGTTAATCTAAATATGCTGACTAGCTGCCTAGAGGTTTTCTATGTTATTAGTGTATCTGTTTCTCCATTTCACACTTAATTAAGTTTACACATTTCATTAAACTTATCATCATTGAAGATGTTTCATTTCCCTATAGATAAAGAATTTATAGCATAGCTAGTTTGTCAGGAAATACCTATTGTGAAAATAAGTGTAATTTATTTTTATTTTTTTTAATTGTAACTGATACTGGTTCAGATAGTTTTGCGCTTTGAAATGTCTGGTAGAACTGAATTGATGTGATCTTAAATTAGAATAACATAGAAGAAGAATTAGAAGACTAACAAGTTTTTGTGTTATGTGTGGCACTCTAGAGTTCTGTTCCCATAGATCTTTTTTGAATAGCTTCTAGGATCTCGAAGAAATTGCATCTTCTAAATTGAAAGATCTTTTTTTTCACAGGTGTGTAATGAAGACTTAATATTTATCTCCAGTCTAGGCAAATAGAACTGTTCAAGTAGATATCATTTATCTTGTGTGTGTGCCCCTGGAAGTTTTTCATAATGATTAGTTTAGGTAATAGCTGTGTCAGTGATTTAGTATAATGACTAACAGTCTGTTATCCCATGATACATGCTTGAATAAAATACAATTTGAGCAGGTAGAATTCTTGTTTAAAGGTTAATACTTTATGCTAATGTTTTAAAAAAGCATCATATGAAATGTATTAACTGTGTAGATCATAAGCTGTGCAATACTTTGGGCTTACAAAACCTATTTAAAACCATTTCACCAGTGATAAATTAGGCACTAGTGTTTTCTTGTATATTTATGTAGGATCGTGGAATCTGGACTCTGTCTGTTGCTCAGAACACTACACTATTTTGACTGCCTCCCAGGAAAAGCAAACTGCATGTCAACTTTCTCTTTAAGAAAGTTGACCAACTCTGTGGTCTTTTGTGCAACTGTAATTTCATAGTTTCTATGAAAACTGTTCTTTTCTTTTTTCCTCCCCCAACTCACCCACTTTAATTGCCAGCTCTGCCATGCATGAACAGAAAAGGAAAAAGGCAGGTGAATGGGGAGCAGGTTCTAGCATATATGCTGACTTGGGGGTGAGGCATAATCCAGTATTTTCTGTAGTAGGCAGAGCGCATCATTATCATATTTACTTGGGTTGTAATGTGACTTAGGACTGAATATCTGGTTTTCTGAGAATAAAACTCAGGATAATTGAAGGTTACTGTGCATTCTTACTAAGTTACTATTCAGAAGAGAAATGTCCTAAGTTTAAATTGATTTAACTTGAAGCACTAAGTAAAATGTTTTTATCCTTTGGTTTTCCTTGGCATAAGTACTGAAGGAGACTTTCTTAATTTGTCAACACCGATGTGGGCAGTGTTTAATGTTTCAAACTCTAAATGCTTTATCTTTTAATTAGTCCATTCCACTTTACACTTCTTGGAGAATCCTACATTGCTTAATGCACATCTGTTTGTGCTGTGATTTATATCTGCAGTGATACAGATGTGATTTAAAAACTTGAAGTACGGTACAAAATTCCATATATATTCATGTGTTCATGTATTACAGTAACTCTTAAGCTTGCTGTTAAAAATCTCAAGATTCATCTGACAAAACTGAATTTTCTCTGCACTGTGAAAAACATGGACTTAAGGGGAAATCTCCCTGTTGAATTTCAAGGAGGGGCTTTAACCTTTTTTTTTTTTTATGCACTGGTGTTATTACAGATGTGTGGTGATGCCTTGCAGTAAAGGGGTGTATTTCACTGTCTTAAATGTAAGTTTAAAATCCTTAGGCCTGATCTAGAGAGTTCTAGCTACAAAGCAAAACTTTAACAAATACAAACATCAAGAAAGATGCTTGTAGAATAGAAATTATTCAGAAAATGTGTTTGGCTAACAGCATCTATTTAAAGTAAAACAGACAAACTATTTCAATCCATAAAATTGTTTATTTTAAATGTCATGGTTCTTTTGATAGTGATGATCAGTTTATTAATGTGGGGTCCGATTCTTATGTGAAATTTCACCTCAAACATAATTTTAATTAGATTCTTTTATAAATATTCTGCCATCTTACCACTTTCAAAAATGTATATTTATATAAAACGTCTGAATTTCTTTTTTTGGTCCCTCTCTTCATTTTGCAGAATCTAGTGACTGTTTCATTAATTGTAGACATATTGTTATTTGTCTTTATGTCACTTTTCCACATTTGTAGCAGCCTGCTATCTCTTAACTTCATCTTTACATCAGTCAAAAGTCCAAATAGAGCTCTAGATCTTTAATGAGGGTTTTTCAGTGCTGATGTATTTATGTAGATTAATCCGAGTTTAATATTAAAGTGGAATAAGCTTCCAGAGTGGAGGCAAAATAAAGCAACTTTCCACATGGGAACATCAACAGATGAGGTTATTGCTGTGTAACTGAGGATTCTGAGATGGGTGCCTGATGACCTTAATACTCTGCACTGTAAACTGGCAGTTTAGCAGCTGACTATGAATAACTGAATTGCTCCAGTAGTGGGACAGGAACCATTATAGACATCAAGGTAAATCATGCCTGTTCATGAGTCAGAAAAGTAACCTGTCCTAAAGGTATGCTTCTTTAATTTGGATTTAACTTTCCTTGAACCCAAATAGCTATAACTTAAAAATAAGCCACAAATTCTGATGTTCCACAAATGGATGGCTTAATGTGAGATACAAACATTCTATATTTAACAAATATATCATGAAATGATGGTCAGAACAATACAAATGGTGAGCTGTATTTGTATGCTCAATGGATTATTTAACTGTTGAGAGTTACTGTTCAGAATCATAGGTCTTTGTTTTTCAGAAATGCAAATCTGCCAACCTTTCTTCCAGCTGCTAATTAATATATACAGTTTTTGCAGAAGATGAGTCTCTGATGGACTTGTTGCGCTTTACAGTTCAGAGGTGTGGATAAACACCTGTCTAAATTGTGCTTTTCCGAAGGACAGCAATTATCCTACAATACTGTCTCCCAAGTGTTGTCAGACAATAATCTTGTCCAGATTCAGTGTTCTACAGAATTTGGAAACAAAGAAGTATGCTTTCAAGTGTGGATGAAAAAGTTTAATGACAATATCATGTTTATGGTTTTGTTTGGTTTTTTTTTCCCTTTCTCCCCTCTAGTACTCGCTTAATGAAAGAAAGCTACTTGAAATGAGGACAGAAATAGTGGAATTGGTAAGAACTTGGTAGCTGTTTTTTACACAGAAAATTTTTATGTACTTGTGTTATAGACCTGGTATTCTTTTTGGAGTTGTTCATGTCTTTAGGCACTTAAAACACAATGACATTTTGTACGTTAATTATTTCCCTGTGTATTTTCATATTGGTACAGGTAACTGAAGTGTCTACAGAATAAAAAGGCTTTCTTATATATTATTAGACCCTCTGCACGTATATAAAAACTGTTTGGTAGTCACTTTGTTTTGAAACTTCATGCATGTAGTATTTTATCTAGACAGAATCCTACTCTTAATGTTACTTTGTGAAATTAATTCACCCCCCGCCATGTTCAGTGAAACTGAAACACACTGCTAGATTGACTTGGCTTCACTTTAGAGGAGGTTTTTACCAAGCACTTCCTTTTGTTTTGTTTCTGTAGCATAGGGAATTATCCCTAGGAGGATGTGTAGCAGTAAGTCATTAACTGATTCACAAGGTTTCAGTAGTGCTGATTTGAAAGTATCAGTAACTCAAGCAGTGTTCTCTGTTTACAAGTTTGATCTTTCAGTCTTCTGAGTAAGAATTCTATCCCATTTTTTACGGAAGTCCTGTCTTCTGTCATAATCGGATTCTGAATTTGTCTGTAGCTGTTTTTGTGGTAGAACTCATTACAAGAGGAAGACATGCTTTTTTACATCAGAAGACCAATTCTCAGTTTTTCTAATGATCCATAAATGTTTATGCTCTGGTATGTTTTTGTCACAAGAGGTTCTTAGACTTTTCAATAGCTCTTATAATCGAGCAGTGACTTTAATATCAGTAGGCCAAATGACAAATTGAAGTTAATGTTTATGCTACTAGATTGAGATAAGAAGGCATCCAGTTCTGCCACTTTCTAGATCACATGTTAAGGAACATGTAATCATATAAATTTCCCAAGTTCACCAAATTATTCAATAATCAGCTAGGAAGGAACTTGTTCTCTTTGAATGCAAATTAACATACATTTAAGGAGGAACCAAAAATTCAACTTGAAGGGATGGGCTAGGTTTCTAAATAAACTAGAAACTGTTCAAATAGCATCATTTTGTTGCTTTGGTTTTTTAGCATGCACAACAAGATCGAGCTCTGACCCAAACAGACAGAAAAATAGACACAGAAGTTGCAGATCTGAAAACAATGCTCGAATCGCACAAACTTGATAATATTAAGTACTTAGCAGGTAAGGAATCTGATGGTTGTCTCTGGTGAAACTGTTAAACATTTAACAATGTTTGGCAAACTCTTGATTGACTGTATCCATAAAGGGCTTGATTAAAAAAAAAAAAATACTTGAAATAGTCAAGATTAGCAGCCTTATATATGTACTTAACCCAGACAAAGTTTCCTATGATTTACAATTGTATTTAGCATGGGCTATGGCTGTATGACTTTTTAGGGTTTTTGTTCCATGCTTTATACTGTAATAACAATGTGTATGAGAAATCTAAAAGACTGCCTGTGAACAAGGGCCAAAAAGTTCTTCTATGCCTGACTTAATTTATAAAAGCAGCCTGCTGCATGCATTTCTAGGATTTCTTCTGTCTGATGGAGATCTATATGCAAAATGGAACATTTCAGCTTTTCTGACTGTTTGGCACCACATGTTCTTTAAACTTTCATTTTTCAGGCATGTGTATTAGAAAAATACTATGTGTGTGTGTGTGTGCCTACATTATTGCCCTAGGTTATTAATATTTTGACATTTTTCTACTGAGTGTGTAGTGCTATTAAATGAGCAGGTTTGCAGTAGAAAATTATTCTTCTGATTTTAGATTTTCTGATTATTCTTTCACAATGGATTTTGTCACAAGTACAATCACGTCTATTCATAGTACTGTACTTCAGGCATATCCTTTAAGAGAACCATTACTGGAAAATAAAGGGCCATTTATTAAAATGAGAGGAAATTCTTTTCCCCACCATCCCTACTCAAAAAAACATGTCGAACTCTGCATGGGGGAAAAAAGATAATTTAAAAATAATTTGCATTGTGTTTGAAGTGCTCCTGCTGCGAACAATGGCAAAAATCTTTTGCGTGTATATCTAGAAACCAAAAGTTGATTTCATTTTAAATAGAAATTTTAAAAAATTGCAAACTGATAAGCCTTGTTAAAGGTAGCTTTCATATATTTGTTTGCTGAATACTTGATTGTGATTTAGTAATCCTGTTATTCATTTCCTCACTTCACAACTGTAATTTGCCGTATTGACCTTTTTTGGAGTGGTAAGCAGCTAAGGGTTTCTTTCAGCCTTTTGAACATTTTCCAGCCCAGTTTCCTGCATTCTTCTTTTCTTTCCTTCTTATTTGTCATTTTTGTGCCCCTCCACCTTGAAATTGTTTGTTGTAAATTAAAAACCTTATTTTCTTACATTGGGAAGAGGTGGTGGTTACACTTTTAGTATTATAGTAAGATATGTACATACCTTTCTGAAGAAATGTTCTGAGAGCTAATGATTTATTGTCTCCATTTTCCTCCCCATTTTTATTTTCTTTCAGGTTCAGTATTTACATGCCTTACTGTAGCACTGGGATTTTATCGTTTATGGATATAATAAAATGTCACTTTAAAGGGACTTCTACTGTCATGATTTCTGGAAAAAAAAAAAAAAAAAAAGAAGTTTTATCTTTGCCTGGACTTTCACCAAGTCTTGACTTTTATTTATTTATTTTTTTTGTAAAGCAGACTGTATTGAGAATGTAACCAAAGATGTGCCTAGAAACAAACTGTATATATTGTGCATATTTTGGAATTTGCCTCTGATGAAAGCATGGTATACGCATTTCTGCTGTTTCCCTCCATTCTGAACTGCAGTACACCTTGCTGCTACGAAGTGTCATATAAGCAAAGACTGGCATTCATACCAATTATATGGGGCTGCATACTGTAGAGAAGAATCTATGGAATTATGTTCTATTGCCTATTCAGACATGCTTGCCAGTCAGTTGCGTATATCAGACTAAGTCTTGATTATTAATGTAAGACTGAAACTACATGTGTTGTGGCTTGGAGGCACTCTTGTATAAGTAGAATTTGTGTTAACTGAATCATGCTTAATTCCCTCCTCCTAATGCTTGTTCATACAGTTACTATGATCAAATGTATGTTTTGCTATTTTTATAACATTACACTTATCAGCTTGTTTTCCAGAGGGCCGTCCAATCAGTCATGTTTCATGAAAGAGTACTGTGTAATGATAGCAGCATTTGCTGCTAGTTTTGTCTGTAATGTATTTGTAGAGGTTTTTGTGACTAACTTGCCTTGGGTACATAAGTATCTGATACTCATTCCATATGCTAATTGTTAACTTTGCCACTGTAACTGGAAGTTTGAAATGCAGTAACATGCACTAGTTGTGTTAATTTATGGTTAAGTGATACAAAGTGTCTCTGGTGCTGCCTCCTTGATGGCAGGGAATTGATGCTTCTAGAAAGGAAAGAGATTTTAAATGGTGGTTATAAAGCAGTGCCTTAGACAAGGGAACTGCAGTACCAACAGTCAGAATTCTGAGTTTTTTGTTGGTTTACTTTAAAAAAAAAAAAAATCTTGTTGGTTCTTCAGATGTGGAACTTTGGTAGTGATTATAATATTGAAAGCAGTAATGGAGACCTGCAAGGATGTTTAATCCAGTTCTGAGCAAGCCCATGTGAGCTAGTAAGTGCAACTGAAAACAATGAAGGAAGGTGTCCAGTGTATCCAGATATCTGTCGTTCTTCCACTGATGAAATGGCTGCTTTAGTAGCAGAGCTGCCATTTGTGTTCCTTCAGTTAAGAGAAATTTCCCTTTCTTGCTTGCTCTTAGGAAGAGAGAACAATCTATGCACTGGTACTAAATGCTGTTAGACCACAATCATGGCTTTGCTTAATGAAAGTAAAGCTGTTTGGCTACTTTGTGCCTGCACTGTAATAACCATTTAACTTTTTTGGTGGTTGGGAGTGCCAACTTTGATCATGTGCAAGTGCAGAGGAAGAGATGCGTGCCTGTAACAATACTATACTGGCCTGAAATAAAGAATTTTCAATATTCATAAATTATGCTGAGTTTTCATTATAAATGCAACTTTTTAATTTGAATTTAGTCTCTTTGTTTGAAGGTAAGTCACTGCTAAGAGGACTTTTTCTTAAGCTAAGAATTAGCAAAGTTGACAGCCCCTCTAACACACTGAGGAGGAAAGAACAGTCAATAATGTAAGGAAAACTATTATTACAGAATAAGTTAACAGCCACTCTAAATTGAATGTATCTATATTCAAGATCTTTCTTGTTTAAAAAAATATTTTTCGTACTAACTTACAGGACTTGATTCTTTCCCAAATTAGACAAGCAATAATTTAAAGTTTGGAATTACTTCAGTGTTGGTTCCTATCTTCCTAGGATAGATGATTCTATATATGTCTATGTAATCAGTACATCTTTGCCTGCATGCCTGAGCATCTGATGAATAGTTGCTAAAATAATTATTTAGAACTAATTTTAGATATAAGGTCTATCCTGCTAAAAATAGATACTATGCAAATAAATTTCTCTTCAGGGCAGGTGGAAGGAGGAAGTGAAAGATTATAGAGTAGCATTGTCCTGGAATTAGTGAAGTGTCAGGAAAACCAACGCTTCTTGGTGAGTGTTCTAAACATGGAATAAAGTTAGTATGTCACTCAGGAAAAGGACACTATAAGTGGAACATAATTATTATTTCCTAGCCCATAAAGTCTTCAAGTGTGATGTAAAAGCTTGTTACTCCTATCCTATGTGCATAGATGCAAAGTCTTCTTCAGTTTCCTCTGATTTTAAAGGTCAGTTTAGCAATCTTTCTAACACAGTCTCATCAAGTGTACCACATGTACGTACTGGCATTCTGAAAAAGTAGAAAATCCTTCTGTATATTTCCAAACAGAAATTCTTTCAAAGGGAGATCTGAACTGAAAGAATGAGCCTTTTGGTACAGGTGAGAAGCAAATACATAAGGACTTACTACTAAATATATCTTGAAAAGCAACAGCTGAGTGTCAAATGATCACTGAATTCATAAACAGGAGACCTAAGCTGGCAATTCTCCATTTTTTTTTTTTTCTGTAAGACTCTTTCTGTATCATGCTGTCCATTGTCTAATTTGAATTGTAGCAGTTCTAAATGTATGGAAATACTTTTCAGTTCTCTGACTTCAGATTTTGATTTTTTTAATTTGCAGAGCTCTTTCAAAAGGTGCAAGTGGAAAATAAATGGGACTGTTTTACCGTAAAACCACTTCAGCTGTGGAAAAACTCCAGTAGCTCCCCCTTGGTTCAGAAATGTATCTGTTGATTTCCTGCCTGGCAGGAAAAAAGTATAAAAGAAAAGATTTAATCTAGAAGTGTTATATCTCTCAGGCTCTCTCTTCAAGTAAGTTTGCAAGAATAGAGCGTGCAACTAAAGCTGAGCTGCAGCTCTGATTTGCTTTTGGGAGGAGCTCGTCTCTATTGAGAGTATGTACAAGTAGCAGTCTGCCTATGTTAAAACTAGTAGCGAGTTTTCCCTGCAGACTTCCATGTTCATGCAGCAAAGACAGGAGCTTCTTTAAGGATTTATTTCCTTTTGGGGAAGGAGATTGATTCAATTTTCTGGAAAACCTAAGTTGCTCCTAAAGCTTCTTTGTGTTTTGCAGAAGAAATCGAGATCCAGAGTTCTTAGAAAACTGTATTTACTTGTAATATGTTAGTGGGAGTGTACTGAATTTAACTGCTTGCCTGTCTTGCTTTCCCTCTTGTTTTCCGTAAAAATCCTTAAGGGAGCCGTCTCCTTTTCACTGGTATGTATTGGCTAAATTGTTTGCTTCAGGTATCTTATTACTGTTAAATCACATGCTGTCTAGCCCTTTCTCTGTTGGAAGTGTTGATTGCATCATTCGTTTCCCAGAATGTTGTAGAGTTGTACTTAAAACCGTGAGTTGACAAATGGAAACATATTTTTAATGTAGGTATGAAGCCTTCAATTTTTCTAACCACAAATGTTTTGGTTTACTAGAATAAGCCTTATTCTGGTTGTGAATAGTCACTTAACTGACCTTTTCATAAATGGTGAAATCCTAGCTCCGTGCAGCTATGAACAGTTCCTGTTGACCTTGGGGAGGTGTGCTTTTACCTTCTAGGTATTTTGAGTCATACAGCTTCAGCTGATTTTTCTTACTCTTGCTATCATCTGTAGACCTCACACAGGAAAACTGGTGGGATTTTTTTGTGGTGTGGATTGGGTTTTGGGTTTTTTTTAATCAGCAAAGTTAGCTAAATTCCTGTGACTAGTTCCTTTTGAACTACTGGTTGCAAGGTGTGAGCAAGACTTAGTTTTGCATCTCCCACTGAGTTTTCAAGAATCAAGTAAACTGCCTTTATTACGATTTCTGCAAGACAATTCAATATTTAACAAAACTGCTGTGTAAAGTCTTTTCAAGGAATAAGTACACTGTAAATTTAATAGTTTTTTTTAATGTTTTAATATATTGGGAAAAGTTGTATTCAGAAAGTAAATTTTGATTAGTTTGACAATAGTGATTTGTTTTTAATAATTTTTTCCTTCAGCTGCCTATACCTTGAATTTGTAGGGCTTTTTGTTGTGGTGTGGGGTTTTTTATGGGAGGTTTTTTTGTTGTTGGTTTTTTTTAGAGCAAAACTTTCTGTATAAGCAATTAATTCTCTTAAGCTCCTAAATAGAATGTTCATTTGCAGTCAAATATGTGCATGGTATTATTGGGGTTTGCTTTAATCAGAAACAAGTACATACACTCTTCGAGATGGAGAGCCAGCTGTGTCTTTGTTAGGAAAGCTTCTTTTGGTTTAAAACAAGTTTTTTACCCTGTTACCAAACATTTTAAAGCAGTAGTGTCGATTCTTTATTTACGCTTAAATTATGCATCAGAGCAATTGCCTCTTACCCTTAGCATGCAGTTTTGTAACTACATAAAGATCATAGAGGGAAGATATCAGCATTTGCATAGTGTTCCTTTGAAATCTGTCCATTCCAAGAAAGAAGATTCCAGTTTTCTTGGGAGGATGCCCAGCTGGTATCAAAAGCAAAATACTGGAAATGACTGACATAGTATTGCGGCAAATACCAGTCTTGGGCCAATGTTTATCTCTGTAGTGAGGCATGCTAATGTGTTGTAATATTTCAAATACCCTACCTCCCTTTGCTGTTCCGATATGCACCCTATCAAACCCTTAGAAGTTCGTTAGGTTCCCCATTGTATTCTGAAATTATATCAGCTTGATTCGAGTCATGGCTAATACTACTTGTGAATAGTCTCTTCTCGTTGCATGAGTAAAAATGTAGTGAGGAGAAAAAAAAAGAAGGGTGGTGTGTTGTGGGTTTTTTGTTTGGTTGCTTTTTTTCCTGCAGGTAAGTGGCACATGTTCTGTGAGAACTTTAAACAGAACTGTATGGTACATGAATATAATAATGGCATACTTACAGCAGGCAATTGGATTTGGTCAAATCAAGCTTGTATGCAGGGCTCGAGGGTTTGCTTCAGAACTGATAGGGTGAGTAATAGTTGTGTTGGCAGGGGGTGGGAAGGGAAGCAGGGCAGGTTTCTCAGCATGAAGGGTAAACTCAGAGTTTATACTATTTATGCTTTCATCTCCAGCATGCTTTGGTCTTTCTGCATTGTTAGA